GGTAAAAATCACTACCTTCTTTTTTTTTATCCCTTACTGTCTTTAATTTTTTTGCAGCATCTCACAGTAATGACCCAGTCCAATAACAAACAAATGTCAGCAAGTGACAGAAAATGACAGTAACATATAAAATAACTAAAATAATTAAATATGTGCCCTTCAGCTGAGTTCATGCAGCTGTCAAAGCAGCCAAGATCTGCCAGCTACCAGAGTACTTGAAGCAGTAGGTGGTAGGGTGGAGGAAAAAGGCAAGCTGTGCCAGACTCTGCATTGCCGGCTGCCTCCTTCCCTCCCCGCTTCCATAGCCGCTGTGTGGCAAGAAGAGCTGAGCCAGACTGAGCGGCCCTTCCCTCGCCCCAGGAAAGGAGCACTCCCCAAGGGACTGCTCAGGGGTGTTCATCCCCGTCAGGCAGCCAGCAGCTTTCTCCACCCCCTGATTTTGCTCTGTCCCTACTGCCCAAGCAGCAGGGCTAGATTGTCAAGGTTAAAAACGCTGCTGGTGGTGGTGATGACACCCGGTGAGCTAGTTGCCTGAGGTATGGATCATAAATTGCCTTTGCATACTTCCTTTGAGAATCTAGGAAATTATTATTTTTTTATTATTAAAAGAATGTTATTTAAGTTGTAAAGTATTGTTAGTTTGAAAAGTAAGAAAGAAAGGAATGCCAGATTTACGTGCAACTTAAATTTTGTTCCCTTGTGCTCTGTAATAGAGCTTTAATTACTCAGTCACAAGCTATTATTTCAACAGGGTTCCTGTCTCATTCAGTACAAGAGAGGGCAGAGTTAAGGTTGCCTGAGCAACTGTAAATCTGGAGTTTTCTAACATTTGAATACTTGACTTTACAACATGAATAATGTATTTTTCTTAGTTTTATGTAACTTCAGAATTCATTATCCACATCACCTACAAAATTATATGACCATCAATAGCAGGTTTCAGTGGGCACTAAGAACTTAACATAGGGTCTCCTGCTTTTCAAGTATGCACAAGCCACAGGCAGAGATGATGTTTGTGTATATCCACTGTGCCAGTATGGACTAATACAGGTTTACTAACAAGTCTGACTGAACTGTAATTAAATGGAACATTTAAGATTTTCCATGAAAAATAATATTCCATGCTTTTAAAAACAAAATGAAGTCAGAAAAGAAAAACATCAACTTGCTGATCAGTTTCTGCGTTCTCATTTCCAGGACCTATTAAGATGCAGAGTGTTGACATCAGGGATTTTTGAAACAAGATTTCAAGTAGATAAAGTAAATTTCCAGTAAGTGTATTAGTAATAATTTATGAATATCATACTAATCTTTAACAACTTAGTTCAGATGTCTGTGCTCATGTAATCTTAGTATAGTAGGTTTAGGGTGGGAGTGGGGGGGGGTTTGGGGGTTTTCTTTTGATTGGTTTGGTTTTTTATCTCTCTTTCCATAGATCCTAGTCAAATTGCCCCATACTTTGTAAAAAAGAGCTGATGTCAGTTACGTCTATCAGTGATGTTCTATGTGGGGTTGTCTGTAACTGTTTTTACTGACTGGTTCATTGGCATAGCACTCTAAACTCATGAAGTACTTTTGGGATAAGATCTCACAGAAGTCAGTGAGAATCCTGCCACAAGTCCGGCTTTATGTAGTGGGATGAAGAAAGTTAAATGTCCCTCATCTTCCAGAGGGATGCAAGCTCTGTGTTTATCAAAGTTTTATGCTGTATCTCTGTAAAACATGCACCATCGAGCTGCCTCCCCTCATCTGTCCTTGCCCAGAAAGGTGGGAGAGCTGCCCCCATATCCTTCTCCTTACAGAGACACACTCTCTCCACCACCCTTCAAAACATGCCAAAACCCGCCCTTGTTTATCGTACAGTAGGTCCAACCTTACATGCTACATGCACTTCTGTGAACTGGAGAGGTCAACACCTTCCTTGGAAAACAGTATATTTATCATTTTCTGGGTTCAGTGGCCTTCTCCTGTCAGAGCACGGCAGGTGGAGCTGTGCAGTGTAACATCAGCAGCTCGCTCTCCCCTTCAGGCAGTATTTTACTGCCGCTGTCCTTGGGGCTGTCGCATTTTTAAACTGAACCCTCGTGCTGCATGCTTTGTGTGACTTTCCTAGAGCACATAAGTGATATAACATCCTATGGCTTTTTAACAGCATGTTTGATGTAGGTGGCCAGAGAGATGAGAGAAGAAAATGGATTCAGTGCTTTAATGGTAAGTGAAAATATTCCACATTTTTATTTTGATCTTATTCTCTGAGGTTTGAGGAGCCTAATACTATATTCACACGTAGTGTGTTGCTAATACAGAAGTCCAATGTTGCAGGTGTTTTCTTTGGGTATTTTTGGCAGTTTGGAGGATAATGGCAGTGTTACCCCAAGGTGTATGCGCTGGAATAATGGAGATGTTCTTTTCTCTCTCCTTTCTTTCTTTCTTTCTTTTGTGTGCTCTGCCCAGATGTCACGGCTATCATCTTTGTTGTGGCTTGCAGCAGCTACAACATGGTAATACGGGAAGACAATAACACAAACAGACTACGGGAATCCCTGGACCTTTTCAAAAGTATCTGGAATAATAGGTATAACATACCTCATTTCTCACCCGCCCTCTCCAGTTTAGCTACAGTTTGTTCAAATCCTTACAAAACAGGACCCACCTTACTCTATGCTCAGATTGCTTATTCATAAAATGTCCACGTAGGGCCAGGTCGCTGGGTGCCCCCACAGTACGGAGGGTCGCAGGGTCCCCTCTTCAGCAAGGACTGTGATGCAGGGATGGTGCACGCAGCATTTTGCTGCTACTGCCAAAACGATGCAGGATGTGGGGATGGCTCGGAAAGGGTGAGCTCCCCATGCCAGCTGCTGCAAGGGGAGCACGGGAGACCCCTTCCTGAGGACACTGCACTGTTTGGCCAAGACTGAGAGCATCCTCCAAATCACATTTTGTCTCCTCCCTAAACACAGCAGCAGGAGCAGGTATCTGTTGGCATTGCATTCGATTCCCCAGCTGATGCTGCGTCCGATAGCTGCACGGGCTCTTGTAAGACCCGTCTCTGAGAGCGCAGTCTCTGCCTTGTGGGATATTTCAAATCGAAATGTTCTGCCACCGTGCATGTAGATTGTAGATACGTAACCAAATAGCAACCTGAGTATCCTCCTAATAGAAAATAAGTAAAAATGATACACAAAGTAAGGTAATGAAGAGTTTCCAGCACATACCTATGAGGATGCTCTGCACTGAGGTGTGTTGGAAGATAGAGTGAGGAAACATGTAAAGTGCGAGTCCCAAAGGCACATCATTACAGTGACTGCTAGGTACTAACTGGGGAAGAAGAGATGTTATATTCATCAGGTGTTATACAGGCCACCCTAAAAGACGGGATATCTGTGTGGATGAACTGTCAGTTAAGACAGAGCAGTCTGAGGGAAGGCAGCTTTCCAGCCTTTTTCCCTTGCTTCAGCAAAACCAAACAAGGTAGACAGTAATGTCTGGGTTTGGAATATGGTGCTTTTAGGCAATGTCATCATTTTCCCAAATTGATAGCAAAATAATAATTCAGAAAGCAATATTTGAAGACTGATCCCCTCAGCAGTGTCTACTGCAGTTTTTATAAATGTATTTACAGATCCTATAAATATACCCACCAGCACAGGTGCAACCCAATTGAAATTATAATTTAGGTCATCTTTTTTATTGTTGCAACATGTTCCACACTACTTCACTCTCTGTCCACGCAGGGATAGCCAGTAAATTTTTTATTGAAGTGATGCATTTTGCTTGATTAAGGTGTCAGAAATAACACAAACATTTGGTTTGTTTTTGACAGATGGTTACGGACCATTTCTATCATTTTGTTCTTGAATAAGCAGGACATGCTCGCTGAAAAAGTCTTGGCAGGGAAATCAAAGATCGAAGATTACTTTCCTGAATACGCGCATTATACTGTACCTGAGGATGGTAAGGATTTTCACCACGCAGGGATTGATGTAGCCCAGCCCATAGTTCCTCTCTCGGTCTCTGTCTGTCTCTCACACACACAAATCCACAAACATGCACACTGTTCCTAACGCAAACTGTTGGTCAGGTAAGAAGTGTGCCAGCAGCACATCACTCAGAGGTGCACAGCACAGGCAGGGTCTGAAGGAGCTCTGTCTGCTGGGTGGCATGGGGGGACTGTGAGGGGCTGGCTCCAGAGCCCCTGCCTTCCCCTGCTTTGGAGCAACCTGCAGGCCCAGGAAAGCAAAGCTGCTAGGCACGTCTCTCCTCTGCCAGGCGCTTCTGCCTGGGCCTCCTGCAGTGCCTTAGGGACTCGTCAGGCGTATTTTGCAGCCGTTCTGCATCCTCCAACTCTGTAAACTTCAACCTTTGCAAATACTGACAAGAAGCCCAGCAGACTGAGTGCACTTTAGTGGAGGAAAACCACATCAATAAATACAAAGAGAGCTGTGATGATGGAGCAATTAGCATGGGTTTGGTTTCTTGTCCTTTCAAGAAATACAATGATTCCTGCACCGCAGTAATGTATTGCATAAGTAAACCCTGTTACTGTGCCAGTTTTATATCAGGCAGAAGGCTTCCCAAATATCTGTGTCTAGCAACAGGGATAAAACTTGCGTTTTCTGACCACTGGCCTCTGCCTTACCCCAGTGACACCCCTGGCACAGAGCTTGCAGCCACCTGTCGGAAAGGCTTTCATTCTCTACTAACCATCAACAGCCTAGGTTACAGAAGTCAAGATGGTAATAAGCTGTTTTCAGCTTTCATTCAGGTCTGGAATTTCAGGAGTGTGGTGTTGAATTTCATGTGGAGAGGATAAATGACCTGTCCTAAAATCTGAGTTAACCTGACACCAGTTAATGCTAAGGGCTTTCAGAAGATACCTTCTGTCACCATCACCCAAATCTCCCTCTCCCAGTCATACACCACATCACATATATACAGAGTTTGGGTAAATTTTCAACATTTTTTTATAGTAAGCCAGTTGTCAGAATAAAGTAGCTTTTCCTGTTTCACAGCGGATATCCAGAGTGATCCAGAATATTCACATGTGAAGTAGCTCTCTATTTTTAAACTGTAGTTGTTCATTTACTCTTTAACTTCAGCTGACATTATTCAAGGACAGTAGCATTGAACTCTGAGATGCTGCTGATTGTGCTGCTGATCTGTGTTTACCCCTAGAAGAGAAGAGTAAAAATTTTCCATGTTCTGATAAATCCTGCCCTTGATCATATTATGTTTATAAGCATCTGATTTGGTATCTTAGATGAAGGGAAATTGATAGGTTATGTCTTCACTGTATTGGTTTTTTACACCTAGGGTAAATATGGTTGTTACATGACCTAGATGGAGATGGCTTCATCTGCTGACAGACAGTACTGACCAGTGAGCCTCCCCCTCAACAAGAGTTTAGTCTAAGGCCCCTCGCTGGGCAGTGTGTCTAAGTGTTCTGCTGCCTTGGGGCCTGGAAATAATACATGTATGTATTAAAAGACCTTTTGATGCTGTCATTTTTTTTCAAGTGTCATCTTGGACTAACCATTTTTAAACCCAAATGCCTGCCTGCAGAAGCTCCGTTCAAGAGATGCTGTTCTGCTGCAGAAGGTGAACAGCTGAGCTGCTTTTTGTGGTCACATTTTCTGATAAAAGTTAAACCCTAACTCCCACTTGTTTTATATCTGTGTGAACAAACTTGTGTGAGTAAGCCTCTTTATGAGATGACCAATGTCATTGTCGCAACGATTTCAGCAATTTTCAGGTCCCTAAAAGATGTTAAAGATGTAGAAGATTTTTTTCAGATTTTACAGTACCTTTCTATTTTAGAATTACCTATTGGGAATCTCTTGTGGATATTTAATATCTTAATTTCTGTATCAAAGGACTATTTCCTCCTCGTTAAATCTTTTATTATGAAAAGTAGGTGATTGCTTTTCATGTTTCTGATGTCATTTATTTTTAATTGAACAGCAACACCAGATGCAGGAGAAGACCCCAAAGTCACAAGAGCCAAGTTCTTCATCCGGGATGAGTTTTTAGTGAGTAATTTTGATCTTATTTGTGATTCTATCATAGGAAATACTGGCAGATGGCACAGTTTATTTAGGGAAAGCTGATGGGTTTTGCAGAAAGCTAGAAGGAGAGGAGAACGTCTGGCGATTCCCTAATTCTCTTCAGCCACCCATCTTGCAGAACCTTCCCTAGTGCTTGCACATTTTTATGCCCATTTTATATAAAGTCACCTGCCCTGCAAAGCATCACACAGCAAGCAAGTGCTAGTGCTGAAAATGGTTATGTGCCTGCCTGCTTGATTCCAGGTTCCCTGTGCAGGGGGGGCAATGCTGGGCATTATTTCCACTGCCATTAGCAGAGTTTTCTGTGGTTGTCTTTACCTGTAAGATGCTACTGGCTGTTGCCTTGAATGTTTATTTTGAGTATCAGTCCAGTCCATGTTTAAGCAAATAGGCTTTTTTCATTTTTATCCTGCATTCCTCCAAGAGCTTTGGCAGTAGTCAGCTGGCAAGAGGGAGTGAACAGAAAAGCAGATTTTATCCTTAAATAAGATTTCTATTGTGCCAGTCTGGAGTTTTCCCTCACCGTAGGACTGGTGCTGTGGCCCTGCTGAGGAGTCATAAGAAAGTTTCTTTGTCTGGTCACAGTTATTCTTACATTTAAGGTTTCCTCCAAAGAGGGAGCTGAAGAGGTGTTGTCTACATTTTGAAGATACAAGCAGTTATTAGGCACATGATCACAGCCCAGCACTGCTATCAGAAACAGGGATCTTAATCCAATATCACCTACAGCTACACTCATACTGAGTCTTTCCCAGAGTGTGAAGCAGTAACGGAGACCAGAACCAAAGTTCATCCATCTTGCCCCAGTGGTGGAAACTGTATGGAGGTGTTTGAGTGAACAAATGTAATCATTAAAATTAAGAATTTTGAAGTCATTAAGCATTCACAAGTATTGTCAGGATTTTCAGCTGTTGATGCAACAAGAAAGAAAGAAGTAATTCACCACCTTTACTTTCCAGATAATGAGAAAAAACATCAGGTTGTGCTGTATTAACGTAATACTTACCCAAAAAAAGCTCACTTCAAGCTAAATCTGCCCCGAGTAATGGAGGCCATGCATAAGCCTGGCGGGGAGGGCAAAGTGGGCAAAGGCCAAGGAGAAATGGTGACTTCCAGTTTCATGGGGACAGGCATTAAAGGCTGAAGCTTTGGAGAGCAGGGACAAAGAGGACAGAGGAAGTAAGCTCAACATACAGACCTGGGAGAGGTCTGGTGTCCTCAGCCAGGTGCAAGGACAAAAAGGTGCATGGTTTCTACCTACAGCCTTCCTGGCTCTGCCTTATACGTTTCTTTCCAAGTCTCTTCATTTATGACCTTTTCCTTGTCCTGCTCTGTTGTGTTTTTCCTAGACTATTCAGAGAACTCTGGTTTTATTCTTCTGTAGGCTTTATTACAATTTTTGTCATGGTAGCAGGTCTGCATAAGGCATGGATGCATGTGAAAATCACCACCATGGTGCTGCACCCCTTAAAGCACTACCTGGCTGTAGGCAGTGGCACTGGCAAATTCAAAGCATGACATTCTAACAACTTTAGAAGAAGGTTAACACGTTTCTAACAACTGTTGGTACGTGGTAGTGTATGAGTATTAGGAAGGCAAAATACAACAACTTCTGGTTTCAGAATTGTGAGGGGGGCCTGTGGCCTTTGGGACTTGGGTGGCAGGCGTGACTGCTTGGCACCATTGGATTTTAGCAGGGGGAGCAGTGGGTGAGGGCTGGCAGGATGTATCTTGTAGGAAATTCTCCTTCCTTTGGCTCAGACACATCCTTTCTCCTCCCAAGCTCTTCACAGAGGCAGCGTACTCATGTGCTCCTTGTTTAGGCTGCTCCCAGCCCTATCTCGTTGTTTTGTACACAGGGCTCTCCAGCTGCTGCTGTTGTGTTTTGATACATCCTCAGGGGATAAGTAAGCCCTGTTAAGGCAGTGGCATGGCCCCTCTGGTTCATGCTGGTTTTGAACAAATCTGCATCTGGGAGGTGAAGGAGCTGCTGTTCAAACACCTAGACCAGGCCCCTTCGAATCGTGCGTTTGGCTTCTTGCTGAAAACTGTCATCATGACCCTGTAGGTGTAGGGACACCAGTATTAAATATGCCCACTTGTGTTATAGGATGGTAAATGTACTTCTGTTGCTGTCTTTTCCCCTTTGAACTGGTGCTAAGTAAACTCTACTATTCGGGATGAGTTTTGAGCAGGGGTGAAAATATTGCATTTGTCCTAAAATGGGAGAACAGAGATATTAGGGATAAAAAAAAACCCTAACATTTTGAAAATAGATCGTTTGATGTGCTTTATATGCAACCAGTTATCTCCAGAACATTGTAGGCAGCTTACTACCATAGACATTAGTGGAATTGGTGCATGATAGACGCAAGCAGACACTTCCTGAAAGAGCACTTATTTTACCAAAACACAAGAAAAAGATGGACAGTTGTGTCAGTAGGGTGACACTGAAAGCGTTTGCACATTGTCCCTCACTGACAGCATATAACATTTAGGCCTAGAAAGAGCACATCAGGGCGGGAGCCTGATGCCCCTCTTACACCCGTGCAGTACATAACTGCTATGTGGGACCATGGGGAGATGTTAGTGCACTCATTAACAGCAAACTGAGGCCATGCTGCTCGAAGGCAGCGTGCTGGAAGGGGTGAGGGCAAGCACAGCGACAGCAGTTGGAGGCTGCTCCTACAGCCTTGGGTCTCAAGCAGGGCAGAGCAAAAGTGAAGCGGGCCTCTGCGACAGGCCAGGGCTGAATGCCTCCGAGGCTTGCGAGTGAAGAACAAAAAAGTGGTTGAAAGCAGACTGGATCATCATTTTGGGATGGTTTTTTTCTTCTGTGAGATAAAAAAATGTTTAGTGACTGGTCTCTCCTTGCTGCATCTGAGTGGCATTATAATGCCTCTGTCATACAGAACAGGTCTGCAGGGGAAAAAAATGTAAAGCAGCTATTGTATCAAAAATAGAACTCTATTGCACTTTTTACTATTTTAAAATTAGTGTCATCATGGGAGTCTATGCACTCCACTGTCTTTCAGCCCTTGGGTTCCTAAAGGACCGATTTCCACTAAACTTCATGAAACAACACTCTCCCCAAACCTTTCTGGGAGATTTGGAGGCCCGTATCCTGCAGGCAGACAAATACAGTCTGCATTTTAATGGAGTTTTAGCATCCTGCCACCATTGCAGTGATTTCATTATTTTCTGGTGCACTTCATGTTTTAAATAAGATCTGAACAACTTATCAGTTGACAAGGTTGTTAAATTACTATTTTTCATGCGGGAAACCGTTGAACTAGGTATTGAGTGTAGCTTAGTAAGAGAACAGTAATTTTTAGTATACATTTGGAAGCCCCCTATTTAATTAGTGTTGAGTATCTCATGTTACCTAAGTTACCTGCAAAAATCTGCATTTCTTGTTGATCTGATAATGTAAATCAGGGCTTCTAAATGTCTGTAGCTTTGCATATCTGTAACTGTAGGCATTTAAAACGTCAAGCCCACATGTAAAATAAATCTCTGTTAAAAATACGTAGTGTAGCCAGAGAGAGAAAAGAGTGTCTTTTGGGTTTTAGCCATTGTAATTTGTAATAAAATTTAGAAAAGCTTTATAAAAATCATTATCCCAAGAACTAGCCTTCTGCTTTCTGTCCTTCTGTATCACAGAATCACAGAACGTTAGGG